GTGTAATAAAATTCCTCCGACGGGATTCGAACCTGCGACCTCTCGCTTACAAGGCGAGCGTCATAACCACTAGACCACGAAGGCTTCATGGTTGAACAGGTCCAAATAACCGTCGGGAACATTGTATTACATAATGCTACGCCTCAAGAGGGCGTTCGGCCGGATAAATCTGGCAATACGGCTAGAAATATTGTCGTATATTATATATGATATTGAAGGGAGTTAGCCGTTAACATTGTTGAATAAATATAATATAAATCATCAAAATTACATATACAGTGTTTTAAATATATATCAACGCTTCGCTGGGGATATAGTTAAGTCTTATAGCAACTTTTTTTCGATTCAAAACCTTTTGTCAAGGATGATATGTATGAAGTATAAGTATGTCTAAGTAGTTCTGAAAAGAACTGTTGTTGTTGAGAATGTCTCAACGTTAAATAATAGTGATAATAACTTACAGTCAAGGATGATATGTATGAAGTATATGTATGTCTAAGTAGTTTTGAAAAGAACTGTTGTTGTTGAGAATGTCTCAACGTTAAATAATAGTCATAATAACTTACATTTAATGATCTCTCGAGTGTTCAATATATATATATATATATATATATATATATATATATAATATTATTTATTTTATTTAGGCCTATTTACTTATTTATTTATTTTTAATTTTTTTCAGAACAATTTCGATCAATCGTATACTGAACACAATAAGATTACAGAGACTCCTCTAATCAACGCTTCGCTGGGGATATAATTAAGTCTTAAGTCAAACATGCGTTGGTACGTATGACGTCTGAGTGAAAACAACCAATGAGCGAAGCGTATTAAGTTTACGTCCGATGAGTATAACGAAATAACGAAAATAAAGATAGGCCTAGTAGTAAAAAATAATAATAACAATAATAGTAATAATGCTGGTGTAAATGTGTGTTTGTTGATGGTAGTTTAGGGAGTAAAATTTAGGTTAAGAGTATCAGTTTGCTCAATTACATCGAAATAGCTTTCAACTCTCGTCTCTGCGAAATACTGTTATAAATACTACCAGATTGAACTTCTATAAACCAAAAGCCGATTACACCGACTCCAAGATTGTTGAGAAGGCAAAGAAGACTATACAAGGTGTTATGCCGCCTACCAAGAAAACAGAAAGTTGAAAAAAAGATGATGGTACAACGCGCAGATGAATGCGGTTCAGCGTCAGAAGAAAATGACAATGAGAAAACTAACACGGTCCCATATTCCGATGTTCTTGTAGGACTAGATACCGACCCGTGAAATCAGGAACACTGGTTTTATCATCCAAAATAGTGATCAGATCAAATAACTTTATACCATTTTGCTCAAAGTGGGAAGCGTTATGGTATTAACCGACCATACCAAAACGAAATTTAAGCAATTATTTGAAGAGCATTTGCTAAGCTAACACTTAATTCATGAATTTGTAAATTAATGTAAATTCTATTATGATATGTATATTATTAGTTTGATCGAAACAAAATAAATGAAAAGCTATATTTGCTTCTAATACAAAATTGTATGACTATCTGATATTAATTTATTTGATAAACATTTAAATGCCTGGAGCTCTTGAATATACCATGTATTATTATTATTATTATTATTATTATTAATAATTATTATTATTATTATGTAACAGCATGAATGAACACGCTACAATAAACAATATAGATTTCTTATTACATGTATCGATGTATTATCGAAATATGAGTTTGCTATCCCTATTAAGAACAAATCTTCCGATACAATGTTGAGTGCTATGAAGAAACTTTTATTGGGCAAAAGAAAGCCTTTAAAAATTCATACAGATAGGAGGTTCAGAATTCACAAACAAAAAGGTTCAAGCATATCTTAATTCCCAAGACATACATTTCTTTATGACAATGATTCAATAGATCAATAAAAACGAGAATGTGGAGATATTTCAAGTCTAAAGGTACCAATAAATATATCGATGCGCTTTCCAATGATATAATTTCTATTATCTGAAGAGCGTTTGCTAAGCTAAAAACACTTAATTCATGAATTTGTAAATTAATATAAATTCTATGATGATATTATTAGTTTGCTAGAAACAAAATAAATGAAAAGCTATTCTTGCTTATTGCTGAAACACAATTGTATGGCTCTCCCTCATTATTTGAATGTATATTGAATGCTGGTAGTGGAGCAGATACATAAAACAACAGGAACCAAAACTGATAATGAGTTATATATATACTACGGCCCTAAAATTTTGATAGTTTCAGAGGGATAGAATCATGAATTAAACTGGTTACAATGGTGAAGACGTTGGTGATAAGGATGATGATGATACTGTTGATGGTGATGATGTTCAAGAAAATAATAAACAAAATATATTGATGGATTATGCGAAGTATCAGTGGTGATGATGGGGATGCTGCTGTTGGTGATGATAATAATAACGAAGATGATAACTATGATGGATATTGATGATATTGACTATGATATTGATAATGCGATCAA